CTGGAAAATTTAAGGAGTTATTATTATGTACGTTTAGATGATACAACCGGTAGGATACTTTTGCACGTTACTGTAGTATTTTGTGCTGTTGCGGAAAAACGCAACTATTTCTAATTATATTTTGTGCTGTTGCGGAAAAACGCAACTATTTCTAATTATAATATTTTGTGCTGTTGCGGATTTCTTTCGAAACGTTTTGCTATTATTGCGCCCGTTGCGGGTTTTTCGACACGCCGTTACTAATTTAACTTTTGTATTACTAAGCTAAATATTCGATGTGTTTGCTGACTGCGGAGGAAGATTTTACCATGTGACTTACTTATCTGATTCATCAGATCAGCTTGCCGTAACAGCTGTAAGGAGTTTTGCCAGTTGAGGTTCAGCAATATGTTTTGGATTCATATCTACAAGGAAGTCAGACCGAAAGAGATCAACAGCAGATTTAGCGTCTATGTGGACAACACATTATTAAACTAGACCTGACTTACTATATACAAACAAACCCTTCTTCTTGTAGCCATTCCTGGATCATTAGTGCCTGCATGGATTTACCAGAAGCTCTTGGGCCATGTAATGCAATGAATTCACCAGCCCGAATCCTCTTCAGTAGTAGTTCGTTCTGCTCTTTCAAGTCTACAAAGTAACAGATGGAGCATTTTCCTTGTGTGATGGCACTATTAACAAGGAATCTTCTCTTTGAAATTCTTGTCGCTGTGGAAATGTTTGTAAAATGATGAAATAAAAATATGGTTAATAATTAGAAATAATAATCTAATTCTTACCATTAAATTCCGCCTTCCTCTTTCCTGGAAGCACAAAGCAAAATAAATATATTAGAACCATTTCCCAATAAAAATATGTTACAACCAAAACGGCTTTGCACATTTGCTACGCCTCTGTAAATAGCCGATTTTGCTATTTACTACGGAATTGTTTAATTGGTCAAAAATTCACTCCCATATATTTTGGATCGGGTGATGAGTTGGTAAAACCCATGTATTCTGGCAGGCGCTTTGTATAACTACACCAACTTGATCACTTGATCGTAAATAGTGATAATTCGCAAGTAGATGTCTGAGAGGGAAATTGAGTACTAGAGTGACGAATACGAATAGTGATATAAAATTCTTTATATAAACGAC